GTTACCATTAGATTCTCCACACATTCTGTAATTTTTGTTGTTGAACAAGGCTCAGCAATGGGATTTCATTACCTTTTATCTGGCACTTCCCCAAGGTCACCTCAAGTCTGAAAAGTTTGACACACATACCATACACATATTTTGTATTCATAGATAAGTGATGGTTTTCACCCTTTGCAGAATTCTCCATTGCAGACCTAATAACTTCGATTACTCTAATAATTGGAATCAAGTTAAAGTTCTTTATCGTTTGTTCAGTGACAACACAATGAAATTCTTAGCTTGTTTACTTCTGAATGTTAGAGACATATTTAAAAAGAGACAGTAACTAGAAGTATAAAAGCACAAAATATACACACATCAGTACACATGTCAGACTGGGCTAAGAAGGGAGACACGGATCCAGTACTGCAGGGAAAGCAGGGCTTTAATGAAACAGATGGCAGGTGAATACAGGCAAACATCAGCCCCGCAGAGTGAGAAAGGGAGAGCGCAAACGCCCGGGTAATCGGAACGGCTGTGCGATGGAAGGGAGCTTCTCCCGGGGTGGCGATCAGGCAGACAGGTCCAGGAACAGCAGGTGATAATCGTGGTCCGTAAGCGAGGGTCGATAGCCGAGAGGTCCGTCCGACGAGTGAACACTGGACAGGAGAACAAGCGGGGAGGAGGACAGGAGGAACCGGGCTCAGCAGGACAGGTAGGTCAGGATCAGGAGCTGGACTGAGGAGGGAAGACACAAAAGGTAAGGCTCTAACACAACCGGGGTGATGGTGGTGCAGGAGGTAGTGCTACCGTTCGGCAACCGGAGGGTTGCAGGTTCGAGCCCCGGGTCCTCCTGTCCCCATCGAAGTGTCCTTGAGCAAGACACTGAATCCCAAATTGCTCCTGGTGAGCTGGTTGGCACCTTGCATGACAGCCTCCGCCACCAGTGTGTGAATGTGTGTTGTGAATGGGTGAATATGAGGCATACATTGTAAAGCACTTTGGTAGCACTATATAAATGCAGTCCATTTAACACAAGGTAAACTGGCAAGGCACAGGAGAGACGGAGGACAGAGAAATGCTTGGGAAGGCTTCTTTTCGTCAGCACAATACTTGGTGGTGTCTTTCCTTCAAGGGGAGTCAATCAGCCGCTGAGGTGTTGCACCTGTCCGTTCCCACCCCCATGGGCATGACAACACACATGCATAATATGCGATCATACAGGTATTAAATTATTAAATATTATAAATGAATAGTTTAGCAAACGGTTGTCCCTTTGAGCCAATAAATTTATGTTCTGAACATCAGCAATATCTCAGTGTAAAATTTCAGAATGTAATACTTAATGATTTGTTGATACTGGTTGATAAGCACACTGTCCTGTGAGTAATGTGTGTTTCGGCACCATTAATTCCCAGTTCAAGCACAGTACATGCACACACACGCACAAGCACACACACGCACGCACGCACACACACATATTTAAATCAATAAATAGCTTTTCACGACAGGCACCTGCTTTATTTTCATAAATGAAAACTTTTGAATGGTGTTGTGCGTATCAGAGACATACATCTTGGCACCTTGACAACTATGCTTTGTTCTGTCAACAGCTGAGACGTCATCTTCTCGAAAGCCTTTTGAATAAAATATAAATGGGATTCAGCGCAGCACCGCTAAATTTACCTGAAATCTCTGTGTCGTTAGGAGCTGTATCTTCTGCAGGCCCTATATAATCACATAGAAGTGCCCCCTGATATCACACAGGCTTTGCAAGAACTCTTTGACCTTGTGAGGGCACATCTGGATCGTCCAGCCCCATGTGTCATAGTGGAGGTCTCTGCCTATTAACCCAACTTCTCATCAGTTTTAACTCTAACCCAAGAAGCAACCAATAGCAGGGGAGCGCTGCTCTCAGGATCTGAACTGGTTTTGTAATGTTGTTGAAAGAAAGATGGCTTGTTATTCACAATGAAATTTACTTACAGTGAGCCATTCTGCACTTACTTTTATATACAGTAAGACAAAGCAGGAAATCCCTGCATTATGACAGCAGACTGTGCTGGAACAAATAGAATTGAATCCCGGGATACCAGCAATCCCGCGCTGAATTTTAAGCACTGCTTTAATTAAGTACACACACACACACACACACAAACACACAAATTAAATGTTCACAGATTGATATGCGCCGGTACCACCTCAAACCAATATTACCAATATTAAAATAGGATCTCTGAAAGATGTTAAGATGTAAGTGTAAGACTTATACTTGCTTTGACATCATGACGGTGAGAAGCTGGCTATTCTATCCTCGACTGGTCAGTGATCTTCTTCATCTTCATCCAAAGCAACAGCCAAGTGTAGTTTTCCAAGTGACCAATCAAAGGATCGGAGACATCAGCCACTGTTCCCGCCTCCA